TTTGATTTATAAATTTATATATGGACACATCACATTTATAAATTTTCAAAATATTAAACAGAAAGAAATTGATGGGGTTTTTTATCCTTCTTAAATGTCATAAAATCCTTTCAAATATTCTCTTTTTTATATTAATCATAAATGTAATAGTTTTTAATTTTCAAAAAAAAACAACAAAACAAAAATGTTGTGAATACCATGAAAATGTATATATACAATTTACAATCAAAATAAATTTTCTTCAAAATGTAATGGGAAAAAATTGTAAAAATATTTTTTAGTATGTATCATATTTTATTTACATACATATCATTTTAAAATCTAGATTAAATAAATAACTGCATGAACTTGAGTTTACATACTATTTGCTGAACTAGTCTCTTAATCTATCTTATATGTATGATGTGGAAGTGTTACAAAACGCATAATACAGGGTGTCACTTGAAACTATTTCACATGAAACAGTTATAAACACAGAGAAATGTAATTTCTTTTCAGATTAAAAATTCCCTTTCAATATGTATACATCACAACTGTGTGCAGATGTCATAAGTATTGAAAAGTCTTTTATTTCAATATTTATCTTCACAAATTGAACAAAAATCGGCACATGCTTATATGAACATTTTACTTGATGATATTCTTATACACCTCCTTGTTAAAACATAAGTTGGCTGTATCAAATCTATGACCAAATTAGGTACTCTACATTAATTCACTGATTAAATAATTCAATAGTCCTAGTATTTAAATGACAAGAGGCATCATAATTAAATTAAATTTGAAAAAAAAAGAAAGTCATAATCATATTACGTGCGATGTAACTTTCAAGATGAATAAAATGTACAACACTTATATCTCTTTTACATGGAATAAAATAACATAAAGCCCTATAACTGCAACTGACCATGTATTATTTACATTTAGTTTGTCATTTGGACTTCTAAGACCTCCCACAGTTATCAGGAATATAAAACTTGGAAATTTTCCTGGGTATTCTCCTCATCCTCCTCCATATATTTACTGTAGACAGGACGAAAGATAATATAAAACTCTATTAAGTATATTTAAAATAACATTTTAATGGTCCATCAAAAACACTTCAATCATCAAATCCCTTGTCTTTATTAAAATACCTGTATGTTATTCCTGACCCACAAACAACAAAACAGATGAGATATGATGGAACTTTCAACATTAGACAAACTTAATCTGTTTTTATCAATATAAAACAAAGAAAGATTACCTTATCATCACATAACTTCCGTTCATAAAGCCCCTGTAAGCAATCCTTGAGATTAGATTGAGATATATTTGGCAAATCTGTGCTCATTGAATGAAGAGTTCTGCTATTTATGGTGGCTCCTTTGGCCCAAAATAGAAGTTAGCAAACTATAAAAGGTATACACACGTGTAAATAAACGCTTGACTTCATATCAAAAATGTACATACATTACATTACTGTATTGATAATATTAACATTACATATGATCAATAGCATGAAAATTCATGCAATTTCTTTTCTTAATCTTTACAATATGTGACACTTTGCAATTACATAATAAATACATTGAGCATTGAATAAAGTATGTGACCTAGTGCAACAATTTAGCCATAAATAAAAGGCATTAGACCTAAATAAGGATTTCCCTAATCTATAAAAGATAGCTGTACAAAGTGATTCATTTTCAAAAAGTACGATCAATATATGAATATTTATCTGTTCATTTTACAATAAATTTCTAATCTTTAGTGGTTACTTAAATTTGCCAATCCTACCCTTGTCAAAAATTTGCCAGAAAATATCCAAATTTTCAAAGCTTTATCCCCAATAATATGTACTCAAATTGATTATTTTACATTTAATTATAGAAAACAAAACAAAAATATCAATTGCAGTTAACCTCCCACATTGGAATCACTCCAACTTTAATCAAAAACATTAGAAGATTTTTATGCAATACATAATTTATAGGCAGCACTGTCTGCAGAGGGTCTTGAATGTTGCAAAATTTTCAATCCATATCTCTGAAAATACTGAATGGAATTGAACCATTTTTGGACAGATGTTCCTTCTAGATATTACTTTGACAATTTTGTAGTTTACAATGGATTCAAAATCCGTCAAATGACCACCACCAGCATTAAAATACACATGCTTCTTATGAATTCAATGGTTGGTTTATGAGGTTCTGTGAGATCATAATATGAAAGGGCAATAACTCAAAGCATTAGAATGGATATAAGAGAGACAGTGAGAGAAAAAAAGCATTAGAATGGATATATATAGAGAGAGAGAGAGAGAGAGAAATGGGGTTTAACATCCACTTGACACAAACTAGGTCATTTCGGGACTAACAATAACATATGGTTCAAATTTATTTCAATAATTCGCAAGTGCGTAGGGGTCTTTAGCAGTGGGAGGAAACCAGAGGACCCAGAGAAAACACACGAGATTGGACAGGCGCCCTACTTCTTGTCACGTACAACCAGGGAATCAAAAGCACGCCAGTTGACTCAATGACAGACCTTATGATATAGCGCACACGTGCTAACCATTCGGATATCCAACCTGAATGGATATAAACCAAAAGACTTTATCTGAAAGATCTGGACTGAATATACAAATTTCAATCTTATGATAACTGTGGACTAAAGCTTATAGAATAACAGGCTTTAAGACTTGGGAGATTATCAAGTAGCATATGACTAAGTTGTCAATGGAATTCAATAGGTTCTTCCCGTGCAATTCTTTACATCATATTAGAATAATATCTTAACATCATATATGGATTATAATCGTGACAGAGCTAATAATTATTGTGAGCTACAGATGATAAACATGGTCAACAGTATTTTAACGTCTGGAGAATTAAAATGACAATTTACTGTAAAGATAATTTATAAACCACAATTTATTTTCCACTCAGTACTTATGTCAGGGATTTTCTTTAAATGGATAATGCAAATTGATTTTTAATGTACATTTAAAATGATGAAAGGTATAATGTATGCCTCCCATTATGAATCAAACATTACTATAATTCTAGTTTGTCAATAGAACACTGAAAAGAAACATTTGTAATAAAACAAATTCTTTAATTCATTCAGAAAAAACAGGAGCATTAACCAAATAGCAAGTTTGAAAAGAATTTGTCATTAGGTTTTATTCAGTCCCAAAACAAATTTGGGGTTAAGGGCAGTAACTCAAATCAAATTGAAAGCTTGCCAAAATAAATACCTAATCCTCGCCAAATTTTTTGTTATGTTTTACTCAATATTCATTACTATGAGGCAGATAGATAGGAGATACACAAGATGGATGGGGAAACCTACCAATGAAAACAGGGGGTACACAGGATGGATGGGTACACCTACTAGTTAAAACAGGAGGTACACAGAATGGATGGGGGAAACCTACCAATGAAAACAGGAAGTACACAGGATGGATGGGGAAACCTACCAGTTAAAACAAGAGGTACACAGGATGGACCTTGTAAAGAATCCATCAAGCTATGATTATATTTGATGCAAAGCATAGTTTCAAACAAAAATGTGCTACAGCTGGTCACATTTCAGGTATTAACAAGGTTTATTATTTGATATAAGATTTCTAAGAGTGTTTATTAGGCAATTACCAGCTTCATTGACTCAAATATATTTCACACTTATTTAAAATTACTTTGGGAGCAGGAGCTGCAGGACGCTATATGTATAGTAATACCTTATCAACTGAAGACAATACACTGAAATCAACTCAGTTCAACTGCTGTCATTAAATATTTTATAAGAGTTTACACATAGACTACATCATTGAGTAACATCGTGCAATATAACATACTAAACATCCTCAATAATTCATTCACACAATAGCTTACTTTGCTAACATCACTTATGGTGGACTTGTTATTTTCAATAGAAAGAAAGACTGGGGAAATACTCTCTATCATTGTTTAATTATTTTGGAACCACTTGCACAAACAAAAATTACCTCATGTAAAATGCATACTATTCTGAGCAATAGATTGATCTGGCTTTTGTTGAATGAATAAAGGGAAGGTATCCCATGGAAATGCTGGTGATTCCACAGCTAACGGTCTGAATTGTTTCTGACATAAGCCCGTCAATTTTACAACTTAGATCAATTGGTGGGCGAGGGTCGGGTGCTTTTATTTCCAAACTTAAATTTTGGATTATACGTTTTTTCTCAAATTCTAGTCTTGTAAAAAAAAACAATGTCATCTGACAGGGATGATATCACATTGTAAATTACAAAGGGACCTAATTCAACTAAGTCTTGTAAGGTATCTATTTACAAAACTAATTCCAACTAGGTCAGCAATGCTAATTCTGATAGATGATCTTTTTACAATATACTACAGAAAACTAGACATCTATTTTTAATAAATTTTAGGATTGAGTTATTTATATGAAGATCTGAGAACCACAATTATAATTTCTGTTAGACCACATACCGAAATGTCCTTAGGTAGTGAAAGCATTGCCAATGGCTGAAGAGTGGCTATGATGTTGTTTAAGATTATAAATGACCTTTACTCTAGAAACACTGTCTTTAAGGTAAGAAATTTCTTCTTTCCTTAGGATATATTTAAGTCTGCTCTAGAATCTTGAACACAAATAACATTTGGCATATTTTCTCCGCTAATATCTTTATGCGGACATATTACATTATCAGCGTTAGTTAGAATTAATTAGGATAGTGTATGATTTCTTTACGTCATCTTCTATTAAATGGATTATATACTAACATTATTTTTTACTTTGATGTCACAAATGCAAATAACAGGTACACCAAAACCATATTTGTTCAAAATCAGTGTTGGATTAGAATTTTGAGGAGGAAAAAACTGATTTGGGATTAATTCATTACAAAACATCCTTTATTGTTTTTAAAGACTTAAATAACCAAAATCTATCTTGAAGAAGGTTTTTCTTAATTCAAATATGGTATTTAATATGCTATTAACCATTCAACTTACCTGTGGTTAAGCACAATTTTCTTCAGGTCAATGTGTAGTTATTCTGAAAGAATAAAAAATAACGGACAATCAAAATCAGAAATCGATAACCATCAATAATCTATATTAACCAACCTACTTTTAAGGAGTGTATCACCAGTACTAGATTTATTGATCTTTAGCTATACGAGACCAACAAGAAGATTATGTTAGTTAGAAATCAAGTTATAATCAGACAGAACATAGTAGTCTCAACAACTTATAGTGTTATCATAATATATCGCTGAATCGATATATCGCGATTCATCTTTTCACAATTCATGTATTGAATCGCAAGATGCTGAATCGATGTTTTACGATTTTTTTCAATGTTTTTTTGTTACATCAATAACTAAACTGTAACCCTTAATTATCCATGTCACACATTATCCATAGGTACAAACACCCTTAAATTTTGCGGTCCCTATTTTAGCCTGAACAGTAATAACAATTTTCTTTCCAGGTTTTAGTGACTCCAATCAAAACTAGACCTGCAGGCAGCACTGAACCGGCTTTAAGGAATCAGACAAGAAGAGTATCATACAATAACCCATTCATCGAGCTACAAAATCATACTTTAGTTCTTTTGATCCGGTGACACCCGACGGAGTACTGTTTTGGTTTTTTTTTTCAAAATAGCAGATATTTTTGCGACAACTTTCGGTTTACAGATCATTGTCAGGATAAATTTAACAAGTGGTATGGGAACTTAACTTCATGTACCAGAAGTTTCAGAAACAATCATTGAGCAGTTAAACCAGCGGCTGCCAGGCAGGATAATCGCGGATACCCTGATTGTTCGAAAAATGGCATTTTTAGCTTGCGGATTCTCTAGAGATCACAATTTTTTTTCCGATTTTAAATATTTCACCATATTCCACCATAATGAAGGTTGAATTCCAATTTCGGGAAAATCAAAATGAAACTGCCGAACAAAATTGTGTAAAAGTATGCAATACGAAGGTTGTCAAACCTCTCGGGGTCACAATTTTTGTCCGATTCTGATGAAACTTAAATCATATCTTGATATTTGCACATTTCAGACCATAAATTTCTGGATTATTGCCACTGATTGTACAAAAAATCCTGTTTGTTTTTAGCTTGTTCTCTTGCAAAATGTGGGCGTATCCTGCCTGGCAGCCACTGGTCTGAACAATCAGGGGCCATAATCCAGAAAGTTATGGTCTGAAATGCGTAAAACATCAAAAGGGGACTGAGATTTTTTAAATATAAAGATATGTTTTAAGTTTTATCAAAATCAGATAAAAATTGTGACTCTAGAGGGTCCATAACCTTTGTACTACATATTTATACCCAATTTGCGTACAAAGAACGGCCATTTTGTCGGTCAGTTTCATTTCGATTTTCCTGAAATTCCAATTCCTACCTTTATTATGGTGGAATGGTGATATCTAAACGATTTTTAAAATCGGGAAAAAAATTGTGACCTCTAGAGAATCCACAAGCTAAAAATGTGATTTTTCGACCAATCAGGGGCCATAATCCAGGAAGTTACGTTCGGATATATGTGATTATCAAAAGGAACCAAGATCATTATGATAAAAACAAATATTTAAAGTTTCATTCAAATCAGATATCATATTTTTACACTATTTGCGTACAAAAGGCGGCCATTATGTCCGTCAGTTTTTTCTGATTTTCAAACTCAACCATCATTAGTGTATAACTGTGATATATTCACACATTATTTTCTAAATCGGATAAAAATTGTGACCTCTATAGGGACCACAAGCTCAAAACGCGATTTTTCGAACTATCAAGGGCCATAATTCAGGAAGTTACGATCTGATATGTGCGAATATCAAAAGGAACCAAGATCTTTGGGTTATAAACATGCATTTCAAGTTTCATCAAAATCAGATCAAAATTGTGGCCTCTAGGAGGTCAACAACCTTGATATATCAGATGTTTACACTATTTGCAGACGAGGGGCAGCCATTTTGTCCGACAGTTTTGGTCCCATTTTCACGAAATTCGAACTCATCCATCATTAGGATGTAACGGTGATATACTAAAACGTTTTTTTAAATCAGATAAAAATTGTGACCTTTAGAGGGACCACAAGCTAAAAATGTGATTTTTCGTACTTCAGGAAGTTACTATCTGATATGCGCGAATATCGAAAGGAACCAAGATCTTTCGGCTATAAACATCCATAATCCATGAAGTTATGGTCTGATACATGCCAATATCTAAAGAAACCAAGATCTTTGGGAGATGGACCTATATTTCAAGTTGTGGACAGACAGACGGACCGGACAGACGACAATATACGTCCACATGAAAATGTGGGCATATAAAAAAAAAAATTAAAATGGCCTTTTTAGTAATTTAAGAATTTTTCGACTTTTTTCAAAGATTGAGGCACTTTTTGGACCCTTTATATCAATCATATTGAGGCTTTAAAATCTGGATTCACACCCTAGACCACCAATAGGACTCTGAGTAACAAACATTTAAGAAAAGAAATATAAGATTAGTTTTCGAGACAAAAGCATCTGTATAGGCTCCAAAATGGAAACACTAGATTTTCAGTGCCCTAACCATCGAATATCATAATATCATTTGGATATCATAAGATCGTCCATTATTCGAAGTATGCAATGACTTTTTAGTTGTTTTTATTCAGTGAAATCTGGTGTAGTAATCACTTTTTTTGCAAGAGGACCATTTTTTTTTACTTTTTACAATTTTTATTCAAAATATCGGATATTTTTTTCGACTATTTCCGATGTTTGGATCATTGATGAGATAGTTTTAACAAGTTGTTTGGATACTTAACGTTCTCACTTTCTGTACCAGAAGTTTCAGAAACCTCCACAGAGTAGTTTTGAAAAAAAAAAAAGATAAATAGAAGAGAATTTTCAATGATTTAATGATTTTTCAACTTTTTCCAAGATTGAAGCCCTTTTTGAACAACTTATATTATTTCAATGCTTTTATATTTGGATGCACCCCCTAGACCAACGATAGGACTCTGAGTAAGAAAAGTTTAACAAAAATTGTATGCGTCGTTTTCGAGAAAAAAGCGTTTCAAAAGGCTCTAAATCGGAAAGTACTAGATTTTCAACGTTTCATAAATTATATCTTAATTTTCGAATTCACATCCATGGTACTATCGAACGATGCTTTAGTTGTTTTCATCCGCTGACATTTGACGGAGAAATCAAGTTTTTGGCAAGAGCATCAACTTTTTTTTTTTCATTTTTTAGACTACTTCCAGTGCACGAATTATTGTTGGGATAGTTTTAACAACCGGTTTGGGCACTTGAAATTGAATGGTAGCAGGACTCTATAATGATATACTAAATTATCTGATCAGATGAAATCACCCTGAGAAATCGTATGTTCAAAAGTGCCATAAATGCAAAAATGTCAAAATATCGAAAATTAAATTTCAATAACCCAATACATATTATTTATATATCATTAGAATCATCATTAGATTAGTTATCTAAATATATAAATAAGTCTTTTTAGAAAATCTGTAAAAATAAAAAAAATAATAAAGCATTTTTCAAAATTGAACGGTTTTTCGACTTTTTTCGATTTTCGGTCCCTTTTTTGTCCAATTCCAGTTATTTCAAACTCCTATTGGATGTCTTCATCCACAAGACCACCGAAGGAACTCTCGATAGAGAAAGTTTAAGAAAATCGCTGGAGAAGTTTGCGAGATAAAAGCATCCAAAAATGCTCCAAATTAGAAAATACTTGATTTTCAGCGTGCCATATTTTGTTGTATGAATTGGATATTATTATACGAAAGTCCAATCCTCGTGACACCCACCGATACCTTAGTTTGTTTAATCTATTGATATCGGACAGAGAAATTGCGTTTTTCCCAAAAGCACCCATTTTTTCCTGTTTTTTTCAAAATATCAGGCATTTTTTTCGACTACTTCCAGTTTACGGGACCTTGTCCGGAGCCTTATCAGTTGGTTTGGGTGTATGGCTTCATGTTCTAGAAGTTTCAGAAACAACCATTGGTCATAAAAACAAAATGAAGCTTACAAAATGGACAGAAAATTCGAAAAAAATCGAAAAATAACAGGCGATAACTCTGAATGAAACTTATATTACTGTGATCAAAAAATGCAGGTCAAATTTGAAAATTTTGAAAAATAACAAAAATTGCCTGGCTTTTTAATTTTTGAACGATTAAGTCAATGAAAAAATTTCGAAATTGCAAAATGTGAGATTGTGATTGTTTGGGAAAAGGTTCAAGGATTCCGAAAATGTCTTTTATTTGAAAATAGGTAAAGAATTGACAAAACTACAGCCGATTTTCAATTTCGGGGTACCGTATAAAATTTGGCCACTTCCGGTCTGCACAGAAATTTCAAAAATAGTTTATCAAGTAACCACCACGTGGTTTCCCAATACAACATTAGGTCCCAGATTGGTATCTGCTTTCGACCACGGAGAAATAGGCTCCCGCGGTAAATAATAATAATAATAAATAATAATAATTTTAGTAATAAAAATAGTCTTTCATAAAAGTCTGAAAGTAACTAGAACTCCAAAGGAGTACCGATGTTTTTCGGTACATCAGGTCGCACCTTTTCACGCCTTGTGACATCAACAATCAAGTTACACCATGCATTGTGTATAGTAAGATCCAATACCTATTAAAATAGAAAAACCTGTCATTTTGAACACTTCTTAATAAAACCAAACTTTTTGATATTAATTGTTAGTAGACATGAGGGTCATCATAATATACAAACGTGAAGAAAACATTCGCAAATCTTTGATGCTAAAATTAATCGAGCAAACTTATGAATATCGAGAAAAAAACCCATCAGTCAGAGCCTCTATGGGATTCATCCAAAGAATTCAAAAATAAAAACCCGAAGAAGATCCATTTAGAAATAACCAAGATATGGGCAATCTGAGATTAATTTTTGTCCCATCCGTAAAACACTTCCTGTTTGTCAAAAATAACCCAATTTATATTTAACAAGCCAACAGTGAGGCTGATCTCCCCCGCCGAAATTGCAAAAT